CTAGGAACAAGAAGCTAATAGGGGCTCTTGGCCTTACTACTAGGAGCAAGGACGCTACTAGTTGCTCAATCCATGAGGAACCAGCCACAGCAGTTGCGAAAATCCCCTTGATGTCGGGCGTGTCCGGCCCTAGCAGCCCAGGGGACGGTAGCTTGATCGTGCTCATCAATGGCGTTCCAGTGTGCAAAGGGCCAAAGCAAGTTCCAGCCCTTCGGCTTTTTGGAGACAAATCCCTGCTGTCCATGAGCCATCATAAACAAAAAAACACAGGTCTTGGAGGTTTTTTCCTGCTACCTTTGGACGGCGCCCTATTTTTTTTTATGTTTTAGCTCCCGTGGCAACTTTTTTCTTGCACGCGCGCTGTTTTCCCATTTTCTCTGAAGCACACACGGCCTCAAATCGACCCTTGAGAATACTGCTACTGGTACATGTGGGTGAAAGCAGCATGATGCTGCTGCCCAACTCCTATGGTGGCACATTTGTTTAGCGCTCCCAAACATCCCCGGTGCCCCGCATAATGCACACCCGAGGTCTTGGATGTGCCGCTGTATCCCTTCGTGGACCTCTTAGGTGCGGGCCCGGTGCGGGCTCTGTTCGGGAAAGTGACGTCGAGAAGTCGTCGGTCATGTTGAAGGGCGGACCGGGCCTCCGATTCGCCCATCTTCCGGGCCTCCCACGTCAAGGGATGTCAAACAGATTTTTGGTATAGACAGCTAAAGGCCTCAAGGCCCAACGAATTCCTTTTTCTATCCAAACGAGTAAGGCAAGGCAAGGCACGGCTGCAGCTGGATTCAGCTAGCTGGACGCCGAATGAGACTGAATCTTTCTCTATATCTCTCTCTCTCTATATATATACACACAAACACACGGTGGAAGCAAAACATAGTTTTCTTTACTTCGAAAGATCCCCACCCTGAGAGGTGATTTGGAAGCAGGCAGGTGATCATTATAGTTGGAACGAACTTGCCAACCTTTCTTCAACCACACGGGGGATGCCGCCTTCGGTGTGTGTGAATACGTCGATAGCTTGGCATGGCCGTGAGAGCTTGACCATGGATGAAACACTTCTTCATGGGCTCCGGCTTGACATGAGCTTCTGCAGGCATCTCGCCATCTGGTTCATAGAGATCGTCAGGAGGTCTCTTCGGTAACAGCTCATCTTCGGGACGTTGGTGACAAGAGGCCTTCGATGCTCCCGATGCCCTTCAATGTTCTCCTCGCCCCCGTCCATGCGGCATAGAACCACTGGTTTTCCATTAGTTTCCTGTCCAAACTTTTTAGGGAGATGCTCAACACTGCTGCTGCGGCTGAATTCAGCCATTGACTGATGACCAACCTTAATGAGCTATATGTTTCTTCTCAGGAAACACCTCTTGAAACTTTTCAAGTGCATTTTGCATTGTCACGTTGACGCCCCGTGCAAAGCAACACGTCCGTGAAGCTTCTGGTAGCGAATCCAAGAAGCCTAAGATATGCTCCTAAGCATGTCATTCTATCTGGCATACCTTCTGGCACTCTAACTGATTCTAGCTGCCATATCTTCTGACATCCTGTCTTCTGACATCCTTTCCGGCATTCTGCCTGCCATGAACTCCGGCATTCTATTTGGCAGACCTTTTGATATTCAAGCCGGCATATTTTCTGACATCCTGGCTGGCACCTATCTGGAATATCTTCTGGCACTCTATCTGGCATATCTTCTGCTTTCCAGCGTTCTATCCTACCTGGCATATGTTCTGACATCCTTTCTGGCATGCTGTCTGACATATCTTCCGGTTTCCTGTCTGGCATTTCCATCTGGCATATTTTCTGACATCTTATTTGGAATGTCTTCTCACATCTTTTCTGACATTCGTCTGGCATCCTTTCTGCTTTTGAATGTGCCGTATCTTCTGGCACTTTCGTCTGGCATGTCTTCTGACATCCTTTCTGGGACTCTCTCCAGCATATCTTCCGGCACTGCCCTGTCTGACCTGGCGTTCTCGATGGTGTAGGTGAGGGACCTGCTGCTCTCGATGGTGTGCCGACACTTGCTGTGACGTGACGACATGGCAGGAGTAGGACAGAGGACGGAGTGCAGAGGAGGGAGGCTGGAGTAACAGACTTTTGTTAAGGTCTAAAGACCTTAGAGGCATGAAAATGATTGGATGACATTGCTTGATCAGGTCTTATTGCTGGGATTCATGTCTCTTGTGACATGGTCATGGTCATGAACTTGCCGCGGTTGCATGTCTTTGACTCCTCAGAACGGGCTAGTGTAAATCAGACAGTCCCATTCCTGAGCTTAGCCATTTTAGTTGAAGGGAAGGCGACATAAGGCAACCAGCCCCCGTCCCCGTGGGCGCATGACATTTGGGCATGCCAATAACGCTGGATGGAAGTTGGACACCGCACCCTCTTGGACCTTGAGGCAATGCCAAAGCGGTCCAACTCCAGAAACCCACTGCGGAGTTGGTGAAGACGGCCGTGGTGAACTGTGCCAAGGCACCAACGGCAGACGACATAAATTTTTGGCAGTCAGCAGCAGCATGGCACACAATGTCACAAGATTAACAGTTGAAAGTGGTGTGTACTTGCAAGATATTCGCAACTGGCAATTCGGGGGTGGTGCGCATGTTTTTCAACGAGCGAGTTTGACTGCGCCCACCACAAAAAGAGCCTTTTCAAAACGATGGATGTTTTCTCGACTTTTACAGCATTTGCAATGTTCTGAAGTTTCGCACCCCGAAAACACCGTAAACACATTCGCTTTTGGGGGTCCAAACACACTGCTAGTGCACAAAGATCCCAAACATCACACCCAGAAAAACAGTATCATCATGGCCCAAATCCCGTACCGGCCCAAATCCCGAAACAACGCGGGCAGCCATGCCCAACGTTTGAAACCCCGTGCCGCGCGTGCGTGCGAGCGCGTGCTCCGATTGGTGGGTTCAGCCGATGTTCCTGCGCTGCCCCTCCCGCGGCAGAGTCAGACGTAGGGGGTTTGCAGCAAAAGCAGAGTAGTCGAGTGTGGAAGGCCACTGATTGTGCCGGCCTTAGCTTGTTTTCTTTTTGGGGTACTTGAACTAGCTGCAAATTTGCCGACCTGATGGCTTCCATTTTCGTTGGCTGGAGGCAGCGAAACGAAGCCTTCTGAGCAACAGTGGCAAAGACCCTGCCTTCTTTGATGCCTGGTAAGAGGATCAACCCACCGAAGCTGAGCCTCAGAGACTCGAAGATGAAGAAGCTGAGTCTTGCTTTGTTTTCATGACGAAGAGGAGGAGAGTAGAGCCATTTGACTCTCCTGATGATTAGATTTGGAGCTAATCCGTAGATGTCCAACACTACATCCTTTCGAGAATTCTTTGCGTTAACCAAGTATTTGACACCGAGCCTCTCACCCTTCTTTAAGCTGCTTAGCCTTGAGTCTTTGAGGCCAAGCCGTGGGATCCGAGTTGTACATAGACACGCAGCCAGGACATCATCCGGTCCAAGACCAAAATCCTTGCGGTTCCTTTGTGAGGATGCAGCCTCAATGTTGAATTCCTCCACTCGAAACAGTACTTGGGTTCGACACGTGAGAGCTCTGAGGGGTCCAAGAGCGCTCTAGGCCTTTTGAGCTTATCAGCTTCATTCCGCAGCAATTTCTTGTGGAGATCAATACTTATGCGCAGGAGCACTTCAGTCAGTGTACAGCAAGAGTCCAGAGGAAGATTGCAAGGTTGTAGCTAGCTACTAGGTCACCTTAAAGTTCCTTCGGCAACATGGCAGCTGTGCGTAAGGCGCGTGCCTTGATTATTGGTCTGGCAAAGGTTGAAGCCTTCATGAAGCAGGAGTTGGAGGCTGTGATGCCAGCGGAGCGTCAAGAATTCTTACGGAGCCTGACCACCGAGAAGCTGCAAGAAGCTTTAGCTAGTGAGAGGTCAGGTCTGGAGAAGGAAGGCATTGCGCTGGAGAACCTTCTCATCGATGGAGGCAATGACCCCTCAGCTCTTCAAAAGAATGGAGATGTGGTACGTGAGCATTTGAAGAAGGAGAACATTTCTACATGACGTGTGGGTTTCTAATCCGAAAAGCCATATCCGGCGTGTTGCTTCTGGTCTCGCAAGCTTTGTAATACAAACTCACGATTACATAGAAGCACCGTCAGATCGTCCAGGGCCAGGGATCACGCTGAGGGATTTCACTTCCAGTAGGGAACCCGAGTAGCCTGAGCCTTTGGGAGTTTCAGGCTGGAGCCACCATTGAAAATCACATAAAATCACACAAAGTCATCAAGTTGGGAGACTGTTGAGAAAATAACACTTGCAGGAGCTATGGCTACCTAAGAAAACCTTAGAGCGATAAGAGGGAGGAGCCGATTCTCAACACTCTTGCCCGAGAACCGCCCAACAATGGTCGCACCGCGCGCTCGCCGCAAGGAGAGGTATGATGTTGTGGTTATTGGGGCTGGCGTCCGTTTACCGCCGTCCAATTTTCCGCTCTTGGAGTACTTGACGAACATCGTGCACATTGGCTTGTAGAAGTGCTGGGGGGCCGGGTTGATTTAAGGAGTTCTGCCTAGATTTTTTCCGGGAAAAAATTGCATCACTTGATTTGTACATATCTCGGGACATCCATAGTTTGACATCAGCATCTATGTTAGAAAAGCCAACTTGGAGGTGAGGAGTCGGTTCTCGAAACTGAATGGTGATAACACTTGGCAGATGCTGAACATAGGGCTTGGGGATGCTGAAGATGTCGCATTGCATCGTGAGCATCGTAACGTACAGGTCGAGTCGAGGGGTGGTAAGATAAAACACCGTGCAAGTTGGGGGTAGTGTTTCTTCAGTGCAGAGGTGGGAAGTGTCGTTTTGGTGGAAGCAAGCTTGGCTGAGTGACTTGACAGAGCGATATAGTTGCTGCAAGACTGGTGTTTTCACGATGGTGAGAAATGTTTATGGGTATGGCTTGGGAAAGTGGGGAGGTCGTGTGCATTGCAAGATGGCGGAGTGGAGGAGGGGAGGTGAGGGGGGCGCCAACCTGTTGCTGTGAAGCTGGGTTCAGTGACAGGAACACGTGCCATTTCGTGAGAGAGCATTTATTGAAATGGTGGTCAAGCAGACTACTAGCAGACTAGCAAGCTATGACCAGGTTTGACTCCCTTCCTTCCTTCCTTCCTTCCTTCCCTCCCTCCCTCCCTCCTTCCCTCCCTCCCTTTCTCCTTCTCCTTCTCCTTATCCTTCCCCTTCCCTTCCTTTCCTTTCCTTTCCTTTCCTTTTTTCATGTCCTTTTTCCTTTCGTTTCCTTTCTTTTTCTGTCCTGTCCTTCCTTCCTTCTCAAGTCTAGAGTTCTTGTAAACCGCAGTGCACCCAGGCACTCACATGCTCCGGGCGCCAAAATTGCCTACAACACCTATCCCTTGGACACGGCAGACGCAATCCGGAGAGCTTTGGCCACGAATTACCTGGAGTGACGCCCTGGCTGTGATACGAATCGTAGGACTCGCACAGAACCCCAAAGTGCAGCGCCGAGACAGATCTCAAAGTAGCTTGGGCTTGCCCTAGTGAACGTGTAGTGATGAGTCATTGATTCAATTGTTGGCGCGGGTTCCTGGCGCTCCTTCGCCGCATCGAATGGACGGTGAGTTTTGAAGACCATCACAAAGAGAGGATATTTTGGCAAACGATAACAAACGAAGGCTTTTCTTCATATATGTCCATAGGGCAAGGGCGTCTCGCACAGAGTGTTGCGACAAAACCGATGGCAAAAGGGAGTGTGAAAAGGAGCGAAAGGAGCGAAAGGTGGTAAAGCAGCTCTCAAAAGGACGAAGAGTCCTTTAATATGACCGTGAAATTGGTTTTGCCACGTTGGTTGAAGATCAAATTTTGTCATCAATGGAGTGAAGAACAAAGGTGAGAGATGGTGAGAGATGGGTGAGATGGAACACAAAGCATATCAGTTTGCTTTGGTTTGGGCTCAATGCAGGAAGAGCAAAGTGGAGTCCAAGCGCCAGTGTTTGGAAACCTCATGGGTCTGTTGGTACTGAATGCTCTTCACAACGGCGTTTCTTTTTCATTGAGCACTGATCCAAGTTACTTCAGGCATGCTGTCATGCTTTCCCTCAATGTCAGGCAAAGAATGATCAGAGAAAAACCATCAAATCGGTTCAATCAAAACATGGAGACCCTATGAAACTAATGAACACAGCGAATTGTAGCCGGTGCCTCTCTCCGCTTCTCTCTTGATCGAAAGTTGGGCTGGGTCCATTTACTTTCCCACCTTTCCACTTTCTGATCCATCCGTCCATGACGCTTGGTGATGGACCCTTGGGCAGACCACAGGCCGGCAACAGACAAGCAGTAGAGGTTTTGATGTTTCTCGTTTGCATTCTTCCTTGAGACTATGAAACTGTAACTTCTCTTTTGGCATTGGTTTCTTGCGCAGATTGCACATCAGTCATGACAACAGTACTTGTTGCGTAGACATTGTGGCCAACTTGGGACTACCCAAAACAATAACCGTCTTTGGATGTATATATCTTACATAGATGCTTCTTCACCGGTAGCGACCTTAGGGACTCATGGTTTTGGGGGCAGATCCAGATCTGCTGTTTGCAGACGCTGGTTGACCCAAAGAGCTTTGGAGCTCCAGCTGAGGCGGATCGGGAACCTTCTGGGTGGTTAAAGTGAAGGTCTCAAGAGCGCATGACGTGGATAGAGTGGATGATGGTGTGCCATGTTTTTTAAATTCAGCACCAGAAAGTTCTGACAGAACAAACTTGGAACTGAAGTGTGAATGCTCCAAGCCCTTTCCTTTGGTACAGGCTTGAGTCATGCAGCCAGCTCATGGGCAAGCTTCACTAGACATTGAATGGGCTGTTTGCCTACCTTTTTCCAGAGACACTTGTTGGAAAGAACCAACTCCAACTTGTCTGCAATTTCACACTGTTTGAATCCACCTCCTTACAAGCTACAAGAGTGTTTCTGCACAGCATCTCATGTTGGTGCGTTTGGTGCCCACCTGCCATGCCGACGCACACGATGTGCGCCTACAGCCTCGCACGCGCTCCAGAGCAGCCCGTGCTGCTCCGCAGTGGGCAGAGCTCGCCTGGCCACTTGTCACCAGCGCCAGCCTAGCTGCTAAGAGAAGCTGCGCCAGCCTAACGCACGCGCGACGGTGCGGAAGACTCCACCGTGGCGGGTCTTCCGGAACTGCGCGGAACTGCACGTCGGGTCAAGTCTTGGAGGCCGGGTGAACTTGGCAAGAAAGTTTTGAATCAGTAAATGAAGAAAACGAAGTCATTCAACTTGTCATCCATGGAGAACATGCAGTAGCATGGAGTCATGTGAGGTTCCTGCGAGTATTCCTGGCCATCTTGGTTTTCAAGCGGAAGCTGTAGACAGACTGACCGAAATCTGTCAAAATGGCAAGTCCTGCAGATCTTCTGGAGGCCTTGATCCAGAATTTTGGCACTGAACGACATGCTTGGCAGATATTCATCACTTCCATCTCCTCCCCGAAACCACCCGGGTCCTCCTGGGGGGTTCCGTTCTCCGGTCCCCGGGTTCTCCGGTTCTTCTTCGGTCCCGACCCGCGGTGGCGAAGCGAACCGCCACGGCAGGTGGCTCAGCACGCGGCCCGCGCCGCGGGGCATTTGATCCGGGAGAAGGTGGGCGCCGAGGTGATCCGCCGCAAGGCCTTCGCCGCGGATCTGCTCACCGCCGTCGACCAGCGATTCGGCGAAAACAAGGGCGGTTTGGGGGGAAGAACTCGGTGTTGGAAGACATCATAAGATCCACAAATTCACTCTTTGTAGGTTTTTGTACACCTTTGATCATTCTTAGTGATGACTTGTGACTTGACATTCTATAGGCTACAGAAGTCGACTTTGAAGGAGAAGTTGTGTAAGACCATTGCCATGTGGCAAATGGCAAAGGACAGCAGATGAATGTGTCTTGTTGTTTGGGGCTTCAAACATGTATTGCTGAGAAACCTAATGACGTTTCCAAAGACGACAATTTTTCAGGCAGATGCCGTGCATGGCCACTTGTTGCTGTCTATTCTGCCAGCTCAGGCAATGCGAAGAGGCGATTCAAAGGATCGTACTTTGGCTCATGAAAAGAAGAAAACCCAGTGTAGTGATGATTACAGGCACCTTCTCTCGTCTCACTTTAGATGATTCCTTTCGCTGGCTGCTTTTTCTGTCTTCGCACCCAGGTGCAGGAGCATTTTCCGAGCCACACATTCCTGGGAGAGGAGCGAAACGGGGGGTACGTG